GTTTTCTACTGTCAACACATCCAGCGGACTATAGAGAAGGACTTATACAGGTAAAGGAAAGTGTTTTCCCTCACTGTCCCCAGAAGGGCATGTTTTTCAGTGAGTGAGGAGGTTATCAGGCTTGGTTTGGACTGCCATCCCCCACTAAACACAGCCAGACTGTGTGAGAACATCCATCCATTACTTAAATTCCTACACATCCCTGTTCCTGGCACCACCAGAGTGGGGGTGAATGTTAGTGAGGTTTCACATTTGAGGAGAAACTCAAATCTGTTTTCTGTATTCTTCCTATTTACCTAAATATTACACAATGCAAGAGTCAGTCTCATTTAAACAAACATTCTGGGTTAAGTTAAGCTTATATCAACTATGTGTGAGAATTTCAGTTTGTCCTTATCAGAAACTCTAGGGCAAACATGTCGATTGCCCCATAGTTTGCTATTATAAATATGCTGTGGGAGGGAATTTTTGTAGTGTGTTACAACTTTCAAGTGTTAATTTGTATCTTCCCTCTCCTCCAGCTCCCAGCTCAGATCCTGTTACTGTGACGACAAGCAAAGCCAAAGTGGAGGTACATGAAAACACAAGTAAGTTCATTAGTCTTCAGATAAACAGCTTGACATGTTTAGTTATATAAAAGCTTTCAGACCGTATTGATTTTGATACTTCTGTCTGTTCTTTGCAAAAGATGCTGTTCTCTCCTGTGAGTTCAGGACAGAGAAAGAAACAAACCCGCGTGTTGAATGGAAGAAGAGAGGCAAAGATGTTTCGTATGTTTATTTTGATGGGGATTTTACAGGTAGGTTGTTGTTTTGCCCATTTCCATATTTACTGCAACCCAGTCCCTAAACATGTCCCTCATCTTAACATTTGTATATTGCTTTAGATATTTTGTCATTTTAAAAGAGGAAGTGAGTCATTTACATGACTTTTGGGAGCAAATTACACATTAGTAAAATTTTGGCTATACTTGAGGTCAGAAAAGGTCCATTGTCAATACAGTGTAACAATGTATAAGGCACAGCTCACACAGAAGTCACTTTAAAACCAAGCTGCACCAGGAAATCTTTTGCCCCCACAAGAAATTACAGATTGCATGGATTTCTATTTGAAATAACTGATTCGCCCAGTAAATTTGATTGTCTTTCAGTGAATATTAGTTTTGTACTTTCATTACATTTATTTTTCTATAAAATGTTCTGACTTACTCTCATCATTACCAGGTTCATTTAAGGGCCGTGCATCCATCGATGGGGCAACACTGACCCTTCGTGGTGTGACACAGAAAGACTCAGGAGTGTATCATTGTGAAGTCACAGCCCGTCAGGACAAAATCAAGCTGGGGGAGGTCACTGTCACCCTCAATGTGCTTGGTGGGAATGAAAATCTTCTTAATTATTCAATCTTGTAATTTCATTTTCATTATTTACATGTGCAGTTGCACCAACAATATGCCTAACTCTTAGTCGTAAACACGACCTTTCTATCAGTGAGCAATATGATCATGTAATGCAACTCTGTCTTACATGGACAGTGCCGCCACATGCGCCGTCTTGTGAGGTTCCAGAAACAGTCATGAGAGGATTTTCTGCGGAGCTCCGCTGTAAAGACAAACTGAGTGTTCCTGCTGCCACCTACAGCTGGTACAAAGACAACAAACCACTTCACACTGCCAATCTCCCTGAAATCACCTACACCCTGGACTCCAAAACAGGGACTCTGGTTGGTGGAGTGCTATAATCTCTTTTTTTT